TTTTGTAAAGTATTCTTGCAAATCTTTTTTGTTGTTGTTCTAACTCTTTGTGACCCCACTTGGGGGTTTTCTTGGCAGAGATACAGGAGTGATTTGCCATTTCCTTCTCCAGCTCATTTTACAGATGGAGGACTGAGGCAAAAAGGGTTAAGTGATTTGCCCAGGGTCACATAACTAGTATGTGTCTGAGGTCACATTTGAACTTAGGTCATCCTGACTCTAGGACTAGCAATGCTATATCCACTGCACCAGATAGCTGCCCCCTTCACAAACCTCTAAAGCAATTATATGAATACTAGCAATGGGAAAACAATTTTTATACCCCTACTCAATTTAATCAGTATTTACCCAATTCATTGTGATTTAATGGGTATCAGTGATTGTATTAGCAAGTTAAATAGAATTAAGTTTAATTTAGTTGTGTTAATTAATGCTGTAAGAATAGCAACCATAATTAATTCACCATGTATTGATCATAATGTTACTTCTAATTGATTCATAGGATAGATTTATACTTTGTTCAGTCTGATATTAACTTGTATTAGGAGTTTGCTGTGCTAGCACTGCCTCCCTCTCCTACTTCAAAGAGTACTGTGAGAGAATTAAGCTTGTAAACCATAGTTTACTTTCCCCATTCATTATTATAAATGTTCTTACAAGTCTTGCTGCCTGTGGAAAACCTCAGAATGCTGCTGACAATGTGAAAAGCTCCTGAATATTGCTGACAAAGTTTTGACAAAGTCCTAGTGGTTGATGGATATTTCCCTTAGCCAATCAAAGGAGTTCCCAACTTCTGAAGATGACCAATCATGCATTTTAACTCCCTATTCTACTTTTAGAGACCTTCCAAGGTCTATAAAACCCCCTTGCTGATGAGCAGAAGCATCCTTGGCTGTGAGAAATGTCTTGAATCTAATTGCTTAAGGACTACCAGTCTCCCTAATAAATTGATTGTGCTCAAAACTCTGCCTTAGTTACCCTTTGTTGTGGATTAGATTTCTTTTTTTTTTTGTGGCCCACACTATTAGAGAAGAGGCTATTGCACAATATAATATGCACTTGACTGTCTCCTACCAGAAGTAACCATTGGAAATAGTAATAGTGAGAACCAACTCTAGCTGCTCCGTACATCTTGTATGTCTCTATGGCTGGTCTTCCCAAACTATATGTCTCTGTAGCACAGGGACTATGTTTGGATCTCTAGGTTCTCAAGGGCAGTCCTTTGATTGAATCCAAACTTCACGGAACAAATCCCCCCTTAAAGGATTTGTTCTGTGAAGTTTGGAATCAGTCAAAGGGCAGCCCTTGAGAACCTAGAGGGCCACATGTGGCCTCGAAGTCAAAGGTTCCCTACCTCTGGCTAGTACATGGCAGGATCTCAGGAGGGTGATTGATAATTATAGGAGCTTATACCACAAGATCATAGATTTAGAGCTGGAAGGGAATCTCAAAAGTCATACAGTCTAACCCCTGCTTTAAAAAAAAAACATTAGGATAGTCAGGTTTAGAGAGGTTGTGACTTGCCCAAGATTACATGGGAGGAAAGGGCAAACTTGGGATTCCACCCCAGGTGTTCCACACACCCATGATGATATCATCCCAGGTGTTTGGGCATTTATAGCTATCACCTGTAAAATCAGGATAATACTTGCACAACCCAGCCCACCAAGGAACAATTCCATTAGCTAAGTGCTAGGCATTGGATCAAATGACCTAATGTAGGGAAAAGTATTTTGTATCCTGAAAGTCAGAGGTTTACTACAATTGTTAAAATTTCAGAGTGAGCATACTTGGGAATCTACAAATTAGGGCATGGTTTATTTTGTTGATTGTCTAAATTTAAGAAAGTGATGATGAAAATGTTAATAATATAGATTAAACCCCCTCCCCCAAGTGTCTATAGTACTTTTCATCCTCCACCCTCACTCCACCTCCAATCTGGTTGTCCAACCAGCATTATGCAGCTTAAAGCCCTGTCAGCTATCATCATTCCAAGTAACCCAGCCTTTCCTATCCCTGTCTTGTTTCAATTGCGTATTTCTTGTGCCCACAGGATATTCTTGGGGAGGAGAGTGACATGGTCAGATCTATGCTTTTAGGAAGAATATCTTGGCAGCTGTGTGGAGACAGACTAGAATTAGTAAGTTATTGCAATAGTTCAAGTGAGAGATGATAACAGTTGAAAATAGGGTGAGAAGGGGATAGATAACTAAGATTTTATAGAAGTAGAATTCACAAGACTAAGTGACTGATTTTATATGGAAGGTGAGTCATAGGGAAAAGTCAAAGATGAGACTATGAGAGCTGATCAAATCAAGAGAGGAGATAGAGAGATTAGAAGAGTGCCCAAGACAGAGCCTTAGGAGGAAAGAATATTCAGGAACAGAGGATTAGTTTCAGAAGCTACAAGAAGTGTCTGAGGTCAGATTTGCCAAGAAAACTCAGGAAGAGTAGACATGGCTGAAACAACTGAACACCAATAAGAGAGACAAGTATGGCAGAGGGGAAAGATTGCTCAGTAGTCAGAAAGACCTAGATTCAGATCCTGCCCCTGACATAAACAGGCTGGAGGACCATGGGCAAGTTACAGCCTTTCAGTATACAACACAGTAGAGTGGAAAGATTCCTGGGTCTGGAGTCAGGACCTGAGCTCAAATGCTACTTCTGATCTTTCATTTGCCACCAGCTACTCTGCTTGATTTTGATTCAATCATCATCTTCATGATGCCCCACACAGGATAAACTCGTCACCAGAAAACTGGAGAGTCTTCAGTTTTTCAATCCATACTTCTTTGGTACTCTGAGTTGCTTCTGCCTATTTGATTGGAAGGCTGAAGGCTGGAGCAGAAACCTCCTCCTATAGTCTCCCTTGAAAGAGGATTTAAAATGCCCAACATCTCTTTTGCCACCAACTGCTCTGTTTCGTTTTGACTCCATTTTATCCTATCATACCCTTGTACTATACCTCTCCCTCCTCCTTTCCAGCTTCCTTTTGCACATTGTCTATCCCGATAGATTATAAGCTCCTATTCTTTCTTATTTGTATTGCCAGCGCTTAGCACAGTGCCTGGCACATAGTAGGCTCTCGATGTTTCTTTTACACTTACTCCACATGAGACCTGTGTCTCTTAAGTCACTTAACTTCATTGGGCCTCAGTTTCCTCATCCATAAAATGAAAGGGTTGAACTGAATTTCTTCTAAGGTACTTTCCCGTTCTTTTCCTTGGATTTTGTGAAATTATAGCTGGATTACTGATCTGGATTGGTACAGGCAGTTTCTCTAAAGACATGAAATCATAGCTTCTGACAAAAACATACACATGCACAAGCCCAAGCCAGAAACCAATACCTTAAAAGACTTGCAAAGCACGGTATGGCACAAATTAAATTCTTAGAAGACTTGAAAATAGAAGAGGAAATAGGCTACCAGTCATTTGGGAAGGCTGCAACAGGACTGTGGAACTGTGGAAACAGGCCTCGGTTCAGATCTCACTCTAGACCTTACTGCCTGAGTGACCATGGGCAACTAATTTAACCTCTTTAGATCTCAGTTTCCTTATCAGTAAAATGAGGCGATTGGACTAGACTCTGAGGTCTCTTTGGGCTCTACATCTGAGCCTACAAACTAATTGGCAAATCATGAATAGAGGAATACGGGAGTACATGGAATATGGTCAAGGGCAAAACCTCGGTGCCTCTTGAACCGTTGACCCACTTTGGTGGGTAGCCTATTCCCAACTTGTCTTCCTCACTGAGTGAACAGCCTCTTCCAAAAGCACCAGGGTAAATTCATGACTAGAAGTGGACCTAGGGAAGGGGAGTGTTGTGGGGGGGACGGAGGGGTGAAGCTGTGTAGGCAGGATGACTATCTTTCCCTTCTGCTGCCTACTTTTATTTTTTTCCAGAGCAGTAAGAGAAGTTTCTGGTGTTTGGAGCTGTCAACTCTAATTTTCAAGACATCCTAAAATGAATAAAGAAAAAAAAAAACAGGCAGGATCTACATGCTTCTAAAAGCCAGTTCGAGGAAGAAGAACCCTCCCGGGTCGTGACACTTTGGGGCACTTCCAGGAAGTAAACGGGGCCTCGGGGCTGGAGAGAGCTGAGAGTTCCCCCTCAATACTAGGGCGGCGAGCCTTCGCCTCTGCAGCAAGCCCCCACGTGTCCAAGCAATTTGCCCCTCCCCTTTCTTCCCTCCTCTCTAGGGATTGGCTACCGTAGAGAGAGGGAGGAGCCTAGCCGTCAGAATGAAGAAAGAGGCTTGCTGGGGGGAAGGGGTGTGTGTGAACCAAGAAGCACTAGGGGGAAAGAGCTTGCGCCTATGAGCCACTTGGGGTCTAGGAACGTGACATAAGCCCTGAGGGTAGAGGGGAGGAGCAGGTGGAGGTTGTCTCTGCTGTACCCCATCCTTCTTCGAGTCTCTTGGTTTATAGCCAAGTTCTTTTGCTGACTCGATATTCATACTCGTCTTCCTTCTCTCCCTTCGCCTTCTTTTCTCCAATCGACTCTTCCTCCTCTCACTCCCTACACACTCACCCCGCATTTTACCAGGATGGTTCAGCCCGGGATAAGGGGGCGGTGTGCTCGGTCTTCGCTGGTGCCGCTCAGGAGCTGCCGGGCTTGCACGAGGCTCAAGGAAACCCAGAGCTGGCGCGGGAGAGAGCGGGGGCCCTCTGCCGGAGCTGCGTGCGGGGTGCACCTCGCAGCCCGGCAGCGGCTCGCGGCGGGCAGTGGCGCGGCTCTGGGGCTAGGGGGCTGAGACGCCCGGGCCGCTGCAGCTTCGCTCCGTGCGGGGAGGAGGGCCGAGTGGGCCGGCCCCGCGTGGGAGCCCCGGGGGCGGGCAGTTCATCTCCTCGCCTTCCACAGGCTCACGGTCAACCTTCCACAGGGGCTGGCGGGCCCGGGAGAGTGGGAGCAGGCGGGGGGGAAGGGGGAGGGCTGAGCCTGGAGCGTGGACTTCAGAAGGGGAGAGCGCTGCAGGAAGTGGGGGTGGCGCCGCAGCCCCTCTGGGGACCGGCGGAGAGGGGTCGGAGGCACCCCGGAAACGGATTTCGCTTCAGTGCCACCGCGATCTGGGAGCGAGGGGCGAGCAGAGAGATCTGGCGGCCCGGAGCGGCTGCTGAGTAATTGCCGCCGCCGCGCGAGGGCTAGGCTTCCACGTCCTATCGACGAACTGCAGGCACGGGAGTTGCTGCAATAGCAGCGCCAGCTCCTCCTCCCGGCTCTCCCCCAGCAGCTGCCACCCCTTAGGCTCTTCCCGCGGCCAGTGCCACTTGTCCCTGGGGCGTATCAGAGCCCTCCTCCCCTTTCCCCGCTCGCTTCCTCCTCCTCCTCTTTCTCCATGGCTGGGTCCGAGCGGCAGCAGCCGCCTCGGCGGGGTGAGGAAGAGGGCGGGCAGGACTCGGCGGCCGCGGCGCCCCTGCACGATGCCGAGCTGGCCCTGGCCGGCATCAACATGCTGCTCAACAACGGCTTCCGAGAGTCGGACCAGCTCTTCAAACAATACAGGTGACACCCCCCCCCCCCATCCTCCGGCCCGCTGTCCTTCCTCCTCCTCCACTGCTCATGAAACCCTCTTGTTCCATTTTCCTCCCCTGGGTCTGGCCGCAGCCCCTGCAGCTGGACACCGAGTCTTTCTGGCTCTCTTTGCCCAGCCCTGCCCTGTCCCGCTCCCGGATTGTTGCCCGTCCCTGCGCCCACCGCACCTGATCTACGCCCTCCCCTTCCAGCAAGAAGACGCGCTCTAGTTAGCCTTGATTCCTTCCTCCCTTTTTGTATTTAGCCTTGGCTTGCTCTCTCCCTTCTCCCCCTGAGTCCTTTTCTGCAGCTGCTCTCATGGATGGATATCTCATTCCCTCTCCAAGGAGGTGTGCCTGTATGTGTTTTTTACGTGTTCGTTTCCCGCTCTCTCACCACGGTGCCCCCCTTCATCTCTTCTTGTTTGGAGATCATTTTGTGTTTGGACCAGATACTTTTTGAGGGAGGAACCTGAGTCGGAATTGCCTTGTTGTGATCTTAGGCTATGGAGAGAGAACATTTCCTTGTGCATGTTTTGCAAGGATTTGTAGAAGGCTTGCGGATTCCCTCTGATAGTTAACTATTTAGTGGGTCCTTCTAGCTTCTCTAGGAGCGTTATCTTCGTGGGCTGACACATCTGCTCTTTGAAGATAGATACATAATTGCCATTTGAGACTGAAAGCAGACTAAACTCAGTATTTTATCTCTCCCCAGTCTTCTGAAAACGCCCTAAAATATGATCTCCAGAAGGATTTGGAAAGCATTAGAAATATGTGTTTCTCCTCAGATACATAACGTAAGAGGAGAGGAGGAAGAAATAGAAGTATATATATTAAGCAGAACACTGCCCTCCACCTGAAGGACTTATCGGTCTGCATCCATGTAAATAGCTTGGCAGATACTCACTGAACTTCTGCAGTAGTGTTTTGTCCACAGTAGGTGCTTAACAAGTGTTGGATTTTTATGATGAATAAGAAGAATGAGAAAAAGAAGCAGGTTTTCGTGGTTTGGGCTTTTGTAGAGAGAATATAGCTAAAAGTCAGCCACATTGTAGACATATGCTTGAAGATTTCGGGAGAACATATTATAAGTATCTTTTTTTTTTTTCAGGCTAAGCAAGTAGACATAGGCTTTAAAGGATGACAAGACCTAATAGTCTTTTGCTCACATTTGCTGTTAAATATCTTTCCTGAAAAGTTTTAGCTGTCATCCATTTTGCATATTAAAATATGATTTGGTTAAAGTGATAGTACATGAGAGACTGTTGCTACGAGATCTTCAAGAATAACAAAAAATTACAAATGATTCCATTCAAAGAATGTTATTTCAGTATAATGCTATTAAATATGTTAGATCTCCCAAAGTGCTAACAATTACTTCAATTAAGTTGGAATTGGTACATTGTTTTCACCTGGCAAGGAATGAGTCTTTTAGGCAAGTGAATTTTATGGGTAAGCATGTCACATTTTTAGTTTTTTTTTTCCTCTTTAAATAACACAGAGCTCATTTTCATCCAGGTTTAAGTTTACTGAGTTATTTTCAAAAGCAATGAAAGATGACAGTTTTAAAGGATTCATTTGTTTATAGTCTTTCTTGTTAAATATTTAATTGCCAACATGCTATATTTTATAGTACTATACTATGACTTGTTGCAGAACAGTGGGAGAATTAATGATGTTTGGTTTTTACCCTTGCAAGGTTTGGGTTACTGGGCTGTTAGAGTACTTTTCGAGGTTCAGGCATTAGTCAAAACCCCACATATGCCAATTTTAGTAGTTATCTCCTCTGCCATGGCATTGATAGCCCCTTTCTCAACAATATGTTGTATAATGTGCAAACTCTGGTCATTTTTAAATTATTGATATATTTGTTATCCACATTATACTTACTTGGTCCAGAGAGTTGTGTAAACAAATGTTATTTGAGGAGAATGGTGTGAAGTGAAGAAAACTCTTCTGGTGGAAATAACATGCAGATAGGTAGTCTTTGTTTGAAGTAAAAATTAAAGCTATTAACATGATTTAATAATTTGATGCCTGCTTCCTTGTCCTTTTCCTCTCTACCCATGCTTCCCCAAACAGTATTTTAAAAGTTTGAAAAAGATTGTCACCATGTTACACATCCTGTTGCTTATATATATGTATATATATATAGATATATATAGATATAGATATCAGATTTGTGATGTTGAAAGCTACAGTGCTCTTCATAATTCCTAACAATGCTTCTTTTCTGACTCTTTTGCTTAAAATCCATTTTGGTTAGCTCGGTTATTGGGTTTTCATTTTATCTGGCTTACCTAACAGTAGGAAACAAAGTGTCTTTAAAGCTGTTTTAATTATTACAATTTGGATGCTGAATTTAGAAAATTCCAGATTTCAATTTACATTGGCACCTCACCTTCTTGAGTTGCTGTCCATCCCCTAGCCACCACTTGCTTCTCTGGAAAAAAGCACAAGTGTAGGGTAGACAGTATTGGACTTGGATTCAGAAAAACCTGGCATTTCAGTCCTTAAAGTCCCATTCTGCCCTAAGTCCTATGATCTCTTTTTTTTTTTCTTACTACCTGTGTGACCATGGGCCAGTCATTTCACTTTTCTGTACCTCAGTTTCTTTTTCTGTAAAACAGGGACAATGATACCTATAGTAATTACCTCATAATTTTCTTGTGAAGTGTAAATGAGGTAATGTACATGAAAGGCTTTGCAGACTTAAAAATGAATGCTACTTTAAATGACAGTTGTTATTATCTTCTTTTTTTGCCAGCAACTCATAGTATTAGAATAAGAAAAAAAAAAAAAAACAACCCACCTATGAATAGTTATTTATAGAAGTAGATTCTCATGGAAATGAAGAAAAGGAAATAGTTTAAAGTAGGTAGTTAACTTCACTCACATAGAGCCATTAGGATAAAAGCTTTTTTTGAATCATTCTATGTATTTATTTCTACAAATAGATTGGTTTGGTAACTTCTGGTGAGGAAATTCCTTCCACCTGTGCCAGTCAAATATATGGTCTTAGAAAGTCGCCTGGAGGTGCTGAGAGGTAAGGGACTCGTCTCCTGTCACACTGACATTATGTGTCAGAGGCAGGATTTGAATCTAGGTCTTTATCCACTATGCCACAATATGTATTTTTTAAAGAGATTTTATTATTTGGAAGTACACTACATGCACCAGCCTAAACACTATTAGTCAACAACAGCATAATAGACTATCTTCTACAGAGAGAGAAGAGGCTACTTGTCCATTGAGGGCTTTTTGATTAGTGGTGACAGATTTTTGTGATCCATGTCTTGTGTCCTTGGTTGTCTTAGAGCATAATATATGGTCATCAAACAGAGCAAAGCTAACTGGGCCCATTGGACTCAAACCCCAGGACCTTGTGTTTGTTATTTACTTAGTGCACTAACCATAGTGAGCTCACCAGGCATAGGCATATTGCAGGCATATTTGTGTTTAAATGGATGTTTTGAAAGTGCTTGAAAAATATGTTCTTTTAAGTAGACAAACATTAGCCTGGAAATCTTTTTATTTATACTACTGATTTGCTTGTCATACATAATCTCTTTTCATACATAGAATTTAGTTCCAGTCAACAAATATTTATTAAGCTACCAACTATGTGGAAAGACAAAGGTAAACTTTAACCTAATCCCTGCCCATAATCATGGCAGATGACAAATTAGTGATAGCCAAACTAATGCCTTTTTTTCTATGTATTTTCCCCTAACATCATTGAGCTTTCCAACTCTCTTGGAAAAAAAATCAACTTCTTTTTAGGTTGATTGGTGTGTGAGTTAGGGGTTAGGATTTGGGAGTGGTAAGTGCTAAGAAAGACTATAAAGATGGGGGTGGAGTGCAGGTTATGAAGGGTTTTGAATGCCAAGCAAAGGATTTGTATTTGATCTTGGAAGTAAAAAGGAGCCATTGGAATTTGTTGGATGTAGGAGAATAACATGATTAGACTTGCACTTGAGGAAATCGTTTTGACAGGTCAGTGTAGGATGGATTGTAGAGGGGAGAGACCAATTACAGTCTATTGCAGTAGTCCATGAGGTGATAACACTTCACTGGACTGGTGGTGGTGTCAGAAGAGAGAAGGGAGCATGTACAAGAGAAGTTATGAAGGTAAAATTGACAGCCTTGACTATAGATTGGATATGGGGGGACAAGGAGAGGTGAAAGAATGAGGAATCTAGGATGACACCTAAGCTGTGAGTCTGGGTTCCTGGGAAGATGGTGATACCTTCGACAGTAATCCAAAAGTTAGGAATGGGGGAGGGTTTCTGGGGAAGATAATGAATTTTGTTTGGGATATGTTGAGTTTAAGATGTCTACAGGTATCTGAATGGTCAGAGATGTCTAAAAGATAGTTGGAGATTGGGAGAGAGGTTAGGACTGGACAAGTAGATAGATATCTTACAAAAGTCTGTCAGTTGCTAGTAACTAGAAATATTTTTCCTAGACTAGCCCACAAAAACTCTTAAAACTTGTGTCTGAACCATAGTACTATCAGCATGTACTAATTGCACTAGCCTAACAAACATTGGGTTCTGGAACCAAGAGAAGTAAGACATGAGGAAGTAGAAGATTTTTTCCCTCCTTTCCTGGCTTAGGGACAAACCTAAATAAAACTTAAAAAGGTTGTCTTTGACACATGTCTTTTCTCTTTCCTTTTCTGTATGCCTGTCTCACTTCATGATACTGTTCTCCATAAACACCATCTTGTTCTGAGTTTCCCACTGTAAACACTTACTTTGAGGTAAAGGACACAATAGGCCTGACTTACACTCCTAGGTACTCCATGTTCCAACACTACTTAGCCTATAGATACTCTAAGATTTTCAAGTATTTTGTTATTGTTGTTTTTATGGAGCCTCACCTGTCAACAAGAAGGACCTTCACCCAGAGAGGAAGGGGGATATTTTAAAGTTGTGGACACTCCACAGAACACCAAGCAGTGATGGGCATACAACAAGCACTCAAATA